GCCGCCGCCCTCGGCGTGGGCGGCTCGGGGTGGCGCAGGCGGCCGGGGCGGGGCGGAACGCGGTGCCGTCCGCGCCGCGGCGGAAACAATAGTGCGGATCCCGGCGCGCGGGGCCGGACGGTAAAGCTCCCCTCGGAGCCGCTTAGGTGCGCCGGCCGGGTGCCCGGACGGACAGACGGACGGACGGCAGGCGGGACGGGCCCCAGGCCGCGCCGGCTGCCCGCGACCCTGGAGCGGCGCCCCCGGGACCCTCCGGTCCGCGGCTGCGGAGTCCCCGACGTGAGCCGACCCTTGCCGGGCGTCCGCGTCCCCACGTGCGTCTCCCCCCGCGGAGCCGGGTAACCGAGGCTGCGGGACGCCTCCGGGGCTCGCCCCCGAGTTGGCCGAGCCCCGTCCCAGCGGCTCCTCCCGGCCGCCGGGACCGGCCTGAAGTTGGTTTTTCAGAGCCAGCGTCTGCGCGGGAGGCACTCGGGCGGCGGGTGTCACCGTGGGCCACCTCTTTCCGTCCCGGTGCTTTCCTCACGGGTAGTGAAGCCCCGGCATGGCGAGGCTTGCCTGGTGGGGCTGTCGCAGACGCCACCTTTTTCGTCTTTCGGTCGCTGCTGCAGGCCACGAGCAAGTTCTTGTGTAACTTGCCTCTTTTCCTCCTTCCTCGCAGGGGCACTATGAACGAAGAAGAGGAGCAGTTTGTAAACATTGATTTGAATGATGACAACATTTGCAGTGTTTGTAAGCTGGGAACAGACAAAGACACACTCTCCTTCTGCCACATTTGCTTTGAGCTGAATCTCGAGGGTGAGGACGCTGTGGTTTTCTGTTTTTGTTTTTTGTTCGTTTTTTTTTTTTAACTGCATGCCGTGAACTTTGTACAACTTAGTGTGAAATGTTTGAAGTTAAAACTGCAGTTGATTGAATGCCTAGAGACTGTGCTAGGTGGTGATCTATACAAAAGTTTTCTGGAAATGAAGCCTGAGTTGACATAGTTATGAATCGAGGGAAAATTTTTGTCTTTAAAACACTTAACATTGTTAGCCTCATGTTCGCTAATATGAAATGAAGTGTGGGTATTGTCTGGTAAACATTAGATTCCTAGCACACGCGTGCCTCTCTTGTATTAAGAATCAACATGAGGATTTTCATGAGCAGATTTAATTTTATTTCCTCTCGGCCCAAACTCTTAGACCCTATTTCCGCATCATGTGGTGAATTTTAATTTATTTGTAATTTTTAAGTTAAATATTTATATACAATTTTAAATATCTTCCTTTACCTTCAGTAATTTAAAAAATAAAAAACAAAAGGGCTTTTAAGTTTGTCTTGATAGCAGTATATGGAATAGAGAATACGGAAAAGAAACTCTTTGGAAATTAAAATAAACCTTTTACTGAAGGTTGGGTTGGCCTAGGACAGCTGACTGGGCCCTGGAGATTAGTCTCTTGTTTCCAGGAAACATGGGATGTAACCTTACTCTTCACATAGTGAAATCCCAAATTTTTTTAGGTATATATGAATCACAATTAAAGGACTCTTGAAATTCCCGAACAAAACAATTAAATTTCCTCGTAACTTGAATCTTGAGGTTGTAATGGGTCAATGGAGAAAGACCTTACTAGGTATTTAGAATTATCTAGGTATTTGAGAACTTGCTTTCAAAACAGCGTTTCATTTTGTCTTGACCTGTGTATTAAAAGATTTTCGTGATATTTATTTATTTATTTATTTATTTGTTTATTTATTTATTTATTTATCTTTCTGTTAAGAGGTGTGAAATGTCCTTATTGCTAAACACAGGCATGTACTGTGATAGACTTTGACATTCATGTTAGGACTTCTTACTCAGAAATGCTGTAGCTTCCAAATACCGTGTCAGGGAGCCTCGTAGAACTTCTCTGGATTGAGCAGAATGCCTGTCTCTTTGGCTTTAGTAGACGTAACAGTTACGTCGAGCTTTGAGAGGATGACTTAGAAGTATGATTCTTGTGTAGAGTTACAATACCATGCTCTTCAGCCACGGGGAAAGGGGTACACTTAGGTTCTTTGGACACACAGTTTTCCCTGTGTATTCTGACACCTTGTCGAAGTTGACATTTCTGAAAGGCAGAGAGAGCAGATATGATCGGTTGCAGCCTCTGTGTTTCCTGTGGAAGAAACTGAGGTCTGGCTGGTGGGCTGCTCCAGGTTGCTGTCTGTAGTGGTGACAGCAAGCTGTTGTTACGTGCCAGGCAAATGTTTGCTGGGAGCGCATCTGTGCCAAGCATTGTCCTAAGCTTCTTACTGGATTATCTTCATTCAAAATGGCTCTGGGATGCCTGCTGGTAGTCCTTGTTTTCAGTGTGATGGAATGGAACCCTAGCCACCTAAGAGATGCACTTTGGAAGCCACATAGCTGGTAATTGATACTCCTGGGCTTTGAAGCTTGGCCATCTGGCCCTTGTGGATGTGACCTTAATTCCACTGATCTACTGTCAATAGGTAGATCAATTGTAAGATGGATGCTGGGAACCCCTCCTCCTGAATCCTAATTGGTTTTGGCTCAGCCAGTTTTCCCTAACCGGTGCTTCCTGATAAGTAAATCATCGAGCCATAATAAAATTTTATTACACAGACCTCACTTTTTATAACTGCTTTTCAAGCCCTTCTGAAAGTGCCTTTTAACTGTAAACATTTTAGCTCTTGATGTGTAAGCATGACACTAGTCTTATGTTTTTGAAATAATAGTTGTCTGTTAGTCTAAAAGATGAAAACAGTTCTCAGTCTGTATTAGAACTACTTCATCTTCTGTGTGCATTAAAGTTAGAGTTAAGAGTCTTCTTAGTTTATCTGTAATGTCAGTTCCTTGCTCACAAATATATTTCTATTTTTACTGCATTAATGGGCTTTTTGTTATAAATATGTGTTTAGTCTAATATTGGCATATTGTTGTAGGGAAATGAGGGAAGATTTTCACAAATGTCAGTTTATATATCAGTACCCAGGTTTTGTTTGTTTTTATTTTTGTTTTAATCCATGGAGTAATGGTGAGATGGCTTAATGCGGGTAAAGACACCTGCCGCCAAACCTCAGGACCTGAGTCCTATTCCTGGATCCCAGATGGTAGAAGGAAAGAACCAGCCCCCTCAGGTTGTCCCCTGACTTCGATGTGTGAGTTGTGATGTGCGCACACACACACATACACACACACCACATTTTTAAAATCTGTGGGAAAAGTGATATAATTGCATATCAGAAAAAGCATAGGGTATATTCTTCATCTTTGTTATTGTCTTGAACTATTGTAGTTTTCTTTCTACAATGGGGGTGCGAGAGGGACACCTGGATAAGACATATTGCTGTTGCTCGGTTTCTTAACTAAGAAAAATCTTTAAATTATCTCTCAACCTCTTCTTTTCTTTCTTCCTTTCTTTTTTTCTTGCAAAGTTCGCCAGTGAAATAAAAGTGTCTTGAGGACCACAGCAGTCGGATCGTTTTAATTCAAGCATTTGTAAATAAAAATAATGTTTTATACATTTTGGGTTGTTTGCATCATATGAACACTGGTCTCCTAATAATGGGCCTCTTGTTTAAAAGCTCTGTGCTTGCATGTATTTCTACAAAGACAAAGGATGAAAGGGAATTGACAGCAGACAGTCTGATCTTATTGGAGGGACTTTGTATTCTAGGCATGGCTCTGAGTTGTCTTTTTTCTGTAGTTTCACAGTAGTTAAAAGGAAAGGGGTACTAACTTTTATGTTTCTAAGGCATGATCCAATTCTTCAAAACCCTAAAAATGTATTTCAAGGGCTCCAGTCATTAACTGTTCCCAAGGCTGACTTTCTGAGCCCAGAGCTCACCAACAGAAGAATCTATGTACCTGTAAGTTAAGGAGACACATGCAGATGGCTACGCCCTGATCTGGCTAAGCCACTCTTAAGATTTTTTGTACAGAGTTAGTGATCAAGTATACTTACAGGCATCTATAACCTAATTAATAACCAAATCACCACCATTCCCTAAACTGCAGCCAGGTCTTCGGAGCCTGCAATGAAACAACCGTATTGTCAAAGGCAGTAAACAGTCCTGGGAGTGGATCCAGGAAGGCAGCCGCTACGCTGCGCTCTGGCTTCCCAATTAAGTAACTCAAGCTTTCTTTCCTATAGCGAACAACATTTAGACCACTAAACCAGTCCGGTTTCGGTCTCAGGGGCTTTGCTGGCTGATGAGTAAGCATGTGTCCAGCTTCTCTGTGGACTTTATCTTCCCTTGCCCCTAATTTCTTGTCCTTTCGTGGAAACAGAGTTAAATTCAGCTCCTGAATCTTTCCAGTAAGAAAAATCCGTAAGTGTTTCCTCTTGCTAAAGCATAGGCAAGCCCAGTGCCCACCTTTACTATCCCTCCATCCTGGGTTTTTGACCATAACTTTGTTTATCACTGGTTGATGTGAAATTCTTGCTTCTGTTTGAGAGCCAGAAGTGGTTTTCTATTCTTGAAGATCTTCTGTTCTTCCTCCGTGTCCTGCTGTAAACACCAGCATCTCTCCACAGACCTACTGCTTGGGGCCAGGAAACAGCAAACGAAGGCTAACATCAGCTCTTTCTCTTGTTCCAGTCCCGTGGTGGCAACACCATGTATTAGGGTGAACCGGAAACTGGGTCTGGAGAGGTGGCTCCGCTGTTAGAGAACTTGCGGCTTTTGCAGAGGGCCCACATTTGGTTCCCCGCACCCGCATGGTAGCTCACAACCATCTGTAACTCCATCTCTAGAGGACCTGATGCCATCTTCTGGCCTCTGTGGGAACCAGGCACCCATACAGTGCACATACATACTTGGAGGCAAAACCTTATACACATAAAATAAAAGTAAATATATCTTTAAACTCTAAAAAGTTCCATTTTTAGTTCATCAAAGTTTAAAGCCTAATGCTCTTTCTGCGTTCTTTTCCCCCTTAACTGCTTTTATTACCACTGAAAATGGTTGAATACTTTTTAAATGATTTTGTTGGTAGAATGTCAGAAATAGATTAGAGGAGAAAGTGGGTATCAATGGTGATGAGCTGAAATTATAGACTGTTTTCAAAGAAAAGCAGCAGAAACTAGACTGGTAAAGGCTCGTCTTAATTAAATTCCATGTGAGAGGAGCTAGGTTCAAATTCTTAACCCTGATGTAGTTATTGTAGCCTATTTTCAGTACTTAAACTTTTCTTCTTAACTTGCCAATCTTGGTTAATCAAAAGTGAGTTAAGTTTAAAGTTTGGATAACACAGGAATATTGGTCATGAAAGCTTATTCTTTGGGACTTGGTTTGGTTTTATGCAACAGGAAGTTGAAATATAATAGTGAAATAAAATGGAATGGATAGTTATAATTGACTTATAAAAAGAAGTTGGAGGCTAAGGAGACGGCTCCATCAGTTAAGCGCTTACTGTATAATCATGAGGAGTGTTTGAACCCTAAAATCCAAGTAAAAGCTAGGCTTGGTGGCATGTTCCTTAGTCCTGGTGCTGGAGAGACAGACGCGAGAATCGTAGGTCTCATTAGCCAGCCAGTGCAGCTAGTCAGTGAGGTCACAATCAGTGAAAGGCCCTGTCTCTAAAAATAAGGTGGAGAGGGGGGGATACAAAGTGAATAAACTGTAATTAATAAAAAGAAAAATAATTATAAAAAAGAAAATAAATAAGGTAGGAAAAGCCCCTGGCCTTGACCCGTAGCTTGTACCTGCATGTGTAGGTTCCCAACATGTACATGTATGAACCGGAAAGAAGCTGAGTTAGGAAGTCCAGAGTAGGGTTTATTTCTGTTTTACTTTGCTTGACACATAGT